TCAGCCCTGGCAAACCTGGGATGCCGATGCCCTTCTCCCCTTTTGGCCCTGGGATCCCGGGGATGCCCGGGGGCCCCTTCATCCCGGGCTCGCCCTTCGGCCCCGGCTGCCCCTGCAGCCCCGGAGCACCCGCTTTCCCTATCCCAGGAAGCCCGTGGGGCCCCGGTGGTCCCTGTGGCCCAGGTATCCCCATGGGCCCGATCTCCCCCTTTGGCCCCATCTCCCCTCGTGGCCCCGGGGGCCCCATGACCCCCGGTTTCCCTGGCATCCCTGGCAAACCCGGCTTCCCAATTCCCGGATATCCTTGCGGGCCTGGTTTTCCTTTGGCTCCTGGCACACCATGACCTGGTAATCCTGGTGGCCCCGGTGGCCCTCTTGGTCCAGGCTCGCCGGGGGGACCTTGCTCACCCCTCAGGCTGCGTATGGGGATTTCTGGGTCGGGGAGAAAAGAAAAAGAAAAGGGGAGGGGGAGAGACAAAAGGTGATTGCAGTGGTATCCTGCGAGCCACATCACGGCAGCTTTGAATAGAATGAGCTTGTTACGGTGCCTCTTGGTTTGGTGGTAGGCAGGGAGGCAGAGCCGGCCAGCGAGTTCCAGGCTGGCGTTTGGAAGAAAGAGGATGTTCCTACTGGTTTTGCATAGCCCAAACTTGCGCGTGTTTCTGTTTCCGTAAAATAATTATTTTGCATCATAGTTGCTTATTTTTTGCCATGCAAAAGCCAATTGCACTTCCTGTAAGTAGAAAACACCAGTAATGTTAAGCAGTGAAGTTCGCTTTTTGTCCCATAGTGTTGTAGACTCATCTACTTTTAAGAGCTTTTGCAGGACACCGAAGCCGCTTGGTGCTCCCGTGCTACAGGAGGAGTTCTGGCATAAAAGTACTTTTGCTGGAGGTGCTTACACTAGGAAGATCAATTTTAAAAGATTTTATCAGTAAGAAGTTTGTTTGTAGGTGTGGCTGTGTTTTCATCAAGGCTTTGGTTCCTGTTAAGATGTTACTGGAAACCTACAGCCTTACCCAGCGTCGCTAAGCTCCCACGGGTTTTTGGCAAAGCGGTGTCTAGTTAGCACTCTTCTAAACACTTCACAAAATGGTTTTATTGTCCAAACCCACATTTTTGTGCCTGTGACCACTTAGTGTGTCAGGTCAGGGTGAGGGAGTTGCTGCATGGGAGTGGTTGTGCTGGGGCTGTTTGCTTTTCGAGCTGCAGGCTTTTTGTGTCAAGTGGAAAGTCTGCTGCTCTCCGGCTCCAAAGCAGATAAAGAAGTGAGAGGTTTGGGGGAAGGGGAGAGATGAGGTTTCAGGGCAAGTGAATTAGCTGTTCCTTGGGAGGCAGAAACCCTCCCTCTCTGCACGTTGTGTTTTACGTACGTAAAAAGCCTCCTTTGCTCACCGGAGGGGTTGGTTTTACTACAGCCACTCGTGCTTGTTCAGACACTCTAAAAACGGGCCCTGAAATCCTTCGTTTCCCGCTGAAGCCAGCGGAAGCTGTGGTCACGCCAAACCCTCAGTAAGACACAGAGTTAACCAGCTGTCTGAAGCCACGCAGACGCTCACTGTCGCCACAAGGATTTTATGACGCTGGGTGTTCCTAGTTACCCTTTGTATTTTTGACACTTTTTGTTGTTTTCTTTAATATCTTAATATTGTCCAAAGTTCCTTTACTGAATACTGAAAGTGCTTGTACATGCAGACTCATGCAGTAATGCCCTGTGCCTTCAATGCTTCCGTTACTCCCATAAATAACCTACAGAAAGAGGACTGCAGAGTCAGAAGAGCAATTACATGTTTTTATCTGCAAACCTCTAAATCACAGGGTCTGGACAAATCCAGAAAAAACTGTGATATTCCCATAAATTCAAATCTTGGGGCTCTGAGCTCTTATTTCATGTCCGGTTGCTGCAGTGGGAGTGGGAGCACCTCCAGGCAGGACCCCAGCCCATTTACCTGGGCCATCCTTTGAAGCCCCATCAGAAGGTTTTCTGCAGGCAGCTGAGATTACGAGGTTTCTCCTAGCCTGGAGCAAGCACCCAAACAAACCTGGGGCCAGCTCCAGGGGCTGGAGGCTCATTACAGGTAGGGCTGCTCAAAGGCTGTGCTGCAGCCGGGAGGATGACTATGGTCTTGCTCTGGTGACCTCAGCTGCCGTACAGCTCATATGAGCCCATCTCATCTACCCATGGCCAGATACCAACATAGCCAGCCCTGGGAGCACCTGGGTGCCGTGCCCAGGCTGCAGCAGGCTGCTCCCCGTCTTCAGCCCCCCGTGGGCAGATGGTGCTGTGGGGCACCAGGCAGGACCATGCAGGGGTGGTGAAGGACGCACCAAGCCTACCTTTCTCTTTCTTAGGAGCCATGTCCTTGCCGAGCAGGGGCATCTGCGGGACCTCCTTCATGTACTGAGGCAGATGGGGGTACTC